GACTGTGCCAATCTAGGATTCTGAAATACATCTGCCTTTGCTTTCTGTCTCTGTCCCTCTCCCTCCCGGCTACCCCCTCCACACTCTCTTTTCATAAAGAGATGGGCATGAATTTGCTAAAGGATCCCTCGTGGCTCAGTGGGTTATGCGTATCTGGTGGTCCAGTTATGGGAATATTTTCTTGAGGTAATTCCAAAAACTTAGAGGGCAAAGTGTGACAGCAAGCCATCCAAATGTACAGAGAAAAAAAAACAAAGTGTGCTGCCCAGACCAAAAACAAGCTGGAGCAGATGGATTCCCTCTTATTCCTAGTGAAAGCTAAGGACCAGCCCCTTGACTAAATGTAGGGTCCTTGTTGGTGTGATGTCTCCTGCCAGTGAATCAGGAAGTTTGGGGGCGTTGGCCCTTTCCATTCTCCATTCTTAATAGGAGATATAGACTCGGTGGCATTTTAGGGAAGAAATAGTGAAAAGTAACCATGAACTTTATATTTTATTATTATTATCTTTTATGAATATACAAAAGATATGGGTCAGTTGTCAAAGTTATTTTGAAAATCACACATGTACAAAATATTAATTTTCCTTAGTTTATCTACTCTCCTGAATTAATTTTCTGCCTCCATAAAATTTGTTTGTTTTTTTAACCACTTGCTCGTTTCTTGCTTTGCATTTTAATAAAACCTAATAAAGGCAAACATTTATGGAGCGCTTTGTGTCCCAGATACCTTGCTATGCATTTTATCGGTATTACAAACTCAAAGAACCCAATGAGTAATCTATTGTGACTATTTTACTATTGTTAACCACAAGGCTCAGAGAGGTTAAGGGACTTGCTTCGCGTCACAGACTCAAGCTGTGTGCTTACATGTGTCATCATCCTGTGAGTCATGAGGCTTATGACAGTTTCTTAGAGCTGGAAGAAAACAAGTACCCTTAGAGTTGGGGAGCTCATCTGGTTCTTGAGCATCCCGTTTGAAAGCATGGTGGAGATTGTTGATGGGTGGGTCAGTGCAGTGCTGGAAGCCAATTGATTGAATCCTCTGCAGGATTCTGATGTCTCCCTTTCTTGGTAGAGTTCACCAGGGAGTCCTGGTGCCAGAGTAATTATGTGTGGAGCTGAAAACCACAAGGTCAGCAGTGTGAAACCACCAGCTGCTCCACGGGAGAAAGACGAGGCTTTCTACTCCTGCAGAGTTGCAGTCTTGGAAACGCACAGGGGCAGTTCTACTCCGTACTGTAGGGACCGGACCGAGTTTAGAATCGACTTGACTGTTGGTTTTGGTAGCCTCTGTGAACATTGAGTGTTGATGAAAATAGAGAAGGATGAAGATAGAGAAGGTCTGGTCTTCAAGATTTTTGTTAGGGAAAGACAGACTGAGATCCAGCCCCACTGCAGAACGAGTACTCAAGAGTGAAATGTGCAATTAAAGAAAATAAAGCAGACAGACAAGCGAGGCACAGGGGCTCATCTCCGATGTTGGAATAGGAGTGAGAGAGGGAGTTTATTTAACAGTGGGTTTATATAGTCACGAGGCTTGCAAGCCTCCAGCACCTACCTACACATTAGAAACAGGCAGCATCTTAACCTTGGACCTCCCCTGAGCTCACCAGGGGAGTACCCTATGATAAGTATCACAAAGGGACTCCACTGCCCCTTGAGTGGGAAGGACAAAAGAATCTGATTGCTCTTAAAGATAGGTCTTCTCTAGCCACAACATGAGCAGCTAGATGCCTGTAGGAGACATTTTGATGGTAGCCTTTTTATGGAGGGCTGTTCTGGGGACAGCTTTCCTTCTGGAAAATGTGTCTCTGGCGTTATCTCTATCTCGGAACTGTTGGCGGTCTTTCTCTACCACTAGAGCCAGTCTTCCCAGCCCTGTGATTATGAGTATAGAGATGACACCCCATACACTCCCTTCCAGGTCTTTGGTTTTCCACAAGATCCGAAACCACCTAAATGGGATGCCTATTCCAAGACAGAGATAAAGAGAGACTAGGATAGCAATAACTACTGTGGATGGCCAACCATCCATGGCTTAGATTTGGTCTTCATTGAAAGAGCATGGTTCATATGGCAGGTAGGTCACTTCTTTCCCGTGGGTCTACTGTGCCTCTTAGCTAATATTCTTTTAAAACTAAAAGTTGCCACATCTTCTGGTTCATTAAGTAGTATAAGGTAGTGTTTAAGAATATACCGTCTGCCACCAGGAAAAATGAAGTTTGAATCCCAATGGCACATTAACTTTGTGACATGGGGCAAGTGCTTCAATTTCTTCCCCCTAAAATGAAACTAATGATAGTACACACCTGATGGAGCCCTGGTAACATAGTTGTTCCATGTTGTGCTGCAATCCTCAAGGTCAGCGGTTTGAAATCACCAGCCACTCCATGGGAGAAAGATGAGACTTTTCACTTCCGCAAAGAGTTACAGTCTCGGAAACCCACTGGGGCAGTTTTACCCTGCCCTATAGGGTCGCCATAAGTTGAAGTTCACTGAATGGCAGTGAGTTTGAGCTTTCGTTTGTTTGATAGGACTTCAGGTGGGTGCTATTTTTGTGAGAAAATCAACCGAGTGAATACAGGCAAAGGCTCTTAGAACAGTTCTGGGTTCTCAGTTAAAATTTATTATCATTATATTATTATCATCGGTGGTGCTACACTGAGAAACAGACTGCATTTTACACTGGCAGCTCCATCTACCCAAACCCCAAAGCTCCGAATTCCTTCACCAGTTCTGCTTCTGCAAGACTTAGCTTTGAGCACTACCCCTTTGAAGGGAAATTCCTCCCCTCTCTCTCAGTCCCTTGTCTGCTTTAGGCCCTACCCTGTGCATCTTATCTATCTGGGTCCTTATCAGACAGCAGGTCCTGAAATTGTTGACTTGCGCCAGTTGGGGCTGGGTTTTGTTTGGGTATTGTCCATGTGGTGCTGAAGGCTATTTCTGCTCTCTTTCCCTGAGGCTCACTACGTGGCAAGGGTGCCTGGTTGGTGAGTGCAAAGCTCACGTAAATGACAGCCGAGTCCAGCAGGTTCACAGAAACGACTTTCAACCTAATTCATGGGACACGTTGTTTCGAAACACATAGCAGCCTGCCAGCAACTACATGCTACTGAAGGCAGTCTGCACCATCTGATTACACGATCTGTGTGAAAGCTCAACTTACAAAGTGTAAAATGCAAAATCGTCACGATTCTTATTTCCCTTGTGGAAGCTTGGTAAAATACTCTACTGTGGGATTTCCCAGGGACCCCAGGTGGTACACACATTGAGCGCTTGTCAATGTTGAAAAGTTGGCAGTTGAGGCCCACACTGAGAGGCCGCAGAAGAAAGCTCTGGCAATCCACTCCTGGAAAGTCACTGCCTTGATAACCCACACAGTTCTACTCCGCGCACACGGACTGTGTGTGG